AGGCTTTCACCTCACACTCCTCTATCTATCTATCTATCTATCTAGCTATCTATCTAACTATTCTTACTAACCAGAGAGTTGCAAAGCAGGCATTGCAATGGGACTCAGAGGCTTTCACCTCACACTCCTCTATCTAATCTATCTATCTATCTATCTATCTATCTATCTATCTATCTATCTATCTATCTATAACTATTCTTACTAACCAGAGAGTAGCAAAGCAGGCATTGCAATGGGACTCAGAGGCTTTCACCTCACACTCCTCTATCTATCTATCTATCTATCTATCTATCTATCTATCTATTTATCTATCTATCTATCAACTATTCTTACTAACCAGAGAGTTGCAAAGCAGGCATTGCAATGGGACTCAGAGGCTTTCACCTCTCTATCTATCTATCTATCATCTCTATCTATCTATCTATCTATCTATCGATCTATCTATCATCTCTATCTATATCTATCTATCCTATTATCTATCCTATCCTCTCTATCTATCTATCTATCTATCTATCTATCTATCTATCTATCTATCTATCTATCTATCTATCTATCTAACTAACTATTCTTACTAACCAGAGAATAGCAAAGCAGGCATTGCAATGGGACTCAGAGGCTTTCACCTCACACTCCTCTATCTATCTATCTATCTATCTATCTAACTAACTAACTAACTAACTAACTAACTATTCTTACTAACCAGAGAGTAGCAAAGCAGGCATTGCAATGGGACTCAGAGGCTTTCACCTCACACTCCTCTATCTATCTATCTATCTATCTATCTATCTATCTATCTATTTATCTATCCATTCTTATTAACTAAGGCTATAAGATTATATTAGATATTATCTCAATAATAATAATAATAATAATAATAATAATAATAATAATAGCTTCTAAGCCTTAAGGCGACCATATCAATGGGCCTCAAAGGCTATCACCTAACAGACCTCTATCTATCTATCTATCTATCTATCTATCTATCTATCTATCTATCTATTATCTGTTCATGTCTTTCTGTCTGTCTCTATTTATCTCTCTTTCTCTCTCTCTATCTAAACGCCACGTGTCTGTCTGTATGCCTCTATCTATCTATCTATCTATCTATCTATCTATCTATCTATCTATCTATCTATCTATCTATCTATGTCTTCATTCACTATATAATAAGGGTATATTATCTAGCTCTTTTGCTCTGTGCCTCTTCTATGATCATGATTCAGAGACAACCCTAATGTTAGAACAATCATGACATTCCTTCTTTAGGAAGCGTTGATTTAAACAGACACCGGTTGCAAAGTGACTTCCATCGGTTTCCCCTTAAGAGCCCACAGATCATTGATTTTAATAGGAAAGAGAAGCGGGTCAATTGTGCCCTTTTAGGATTGGGACCTCTCCACTCCATTTGTCTTGCTTTATTCGGAAGTAAGCCTTCCTTTCCGGACAGGCGAACAGAACCCGAAAGCCATTGGTGGGTTTCTCAGTAGAGTAGACCCATTGACAGACTGGGATTTACTGCAGTGTAAACACAGGTTACACTGAAGTAGATCCCAGTTTATCAGTGTGGATTTGCATTACAATATGAGCGGAGACACACACACACAATTTTAATGATATAATTTCTTATAATATAATATAATATAATATAGTATAATAATATAATATAATATAATAATATAATATAATTTCATATAATATAATATTATAATATAATTTCATATAATTTCATATAATATAATTTCATATAATTTCATATAATATAATATTATAATATAATATAATATTATAATATAATATATATCGTTAGTATGTGCTACATAGAGCTATTCTGAAAGTATCAGCATGCAATACACACATATAAATATTATCAGCATGCTCCCCCCTCTCACTTTATATATATATATCACACAAAAATAGCATGGAAAATAATATTATAAATAAATATGATATTTATATCTTATTATATTATAATTTCTTATAATATAATATAATAATAAGATATAAATATATTTATTTATAATATTATTTTCCATGCTATTATAATATAGTCATTTTATATTATAAATAAATATAAGCTATTATAAAGTAATCTATAATTATATATAATATATAATATATATAATTATAATTATTAAAGTAATTATTAAAATAATTATCAAAGTAATATGTAATTATATATATATAATTATATATTACTTTATAATAGCTTATATTTATTTATAATATAAAAAATTACTATATTATAATAGCATGGAAAATAATATTATAAATAAATATGATATTTATATCTTATTATTATAATATATAATATATAATTCTGATTATTAAAGTAATTATTAAAATAATTATCAAAGTAATATGTAATTATATATATATATATATATATATATATATATATAATCGAAGGTTTTCATGGCCGGAATCACTGGGTTGTTGTAGGTTTTTTCGGGCTATATGGCCATGGTCTAGAGGCATTCTCTCCTGACGTTTCGCCTGCATCTATGGCAAGCATCCTCAGAGGTAGTGAGGATGTACCTCTGAGGATACTTGCCATAGATGCAGGCGAAACGTCAGGAGAGAATGCCTCTAGACCATGGCCATATAGCCCGAAAAAACCTACAACGACCCAATTATATATTACTTTATAATAGCTTATATTTATTTATAATATAAAAATTACTATATTATAATAGCATGGAAAATAATATTATATTATAGTATATTATATATGGTAGTTTATATATACAATTAACTATTATAAAATTATATGCATAGATATAAGAATATATGTGTGTGCGTTTTATTTATATATACATATATCTACACATATATAATATTGTATATTATATATGTGTATATATAATATTGTATATGTGTATATTATAACAATATGAGAATGCATTATGTATACATATTTATATTATTTATATTATTTTGTATGATCAGCTTAATATAGTCAAATACAAATGCTGAAATTCCTATACTACAGATACATGTCTCTGTCAGGCTGAAATATTTCATATTATGTGTGTATTCCATGCTATTTTTATAGTATACTAGCTGTCCCTTGCCACGCGTTGCTGTGGCCCATTCTGGTGATCTGGAAAATAAAGTAATGAGAAAGTGTTGGTTTCTAATATATGTAATTTCTTTTTGCTCGCGGGTAAACAGTATTTCTTGCTGTTTCTTTGTCAGTGTTGATGTGGAGAGTGTCTGGTTTGCCTACTCTGGAACATGCAACATATAATTGTCCTTCTTCAGGGGTCCCTTTCAAATCTATGATACTATATCTCTGTGTGTGTGAATCAAATATATCTCTCTATATCTATGGCTGGATGGTTCTTTGTCAGGAGGGCTTTGATTACGTTTTCTTGCCCTAGTGAAGGGAGTTGGACTGGGTGACCTTAAGTATTTTCTGTTGGTCATGAGGGTTCTCTGTGGGAAGTTTGCCCCAACTCTGTCGTTCGTGGGGTTCAGAATGCTCTTTGATTGTATTTGAACTGTGAATCCCAGTGACTACAACTCCCAAATGTCAAGGTCTATTTCCCCCAAACTCCATCTGTGTTCCTATTTGGGCGTATTGAGCGCTTGTGCCAAGTTTGGTCCGGATCCATCATTGTTTGAGTCCACAGTGCTCTCTGGATGTAGGTGAACTACAACTCCCAAACTCAAGGTCAACGCCCACCAAACCCTTCCAGTATTTGCTATTGGTCTGTGTGCCAAGTTTGGTCCCATTCCATCGTTGAGGGAGTTCAGAATGCTTTTTGATTGCAGGTGAACTATAAATCCCAGTAACTACAAATCCCAAATGTCAAGGTCTATTTCCTCCAAACTCCATCTGTGTTCATATTTAGGCATATGGAATATTCGTGCCAAGTTTGGTCCAGATCCATCATTGTTTGAGTCCAGGGTGCTCTCTGGATGTAAGTGAACTACAACTCCCAAACTCAAGGTCAATGCCCACCAAACCCTTCCAGTATTTGCTATTAGTCTGTGTGCAAAGTTTGGTCCCATTCCATCATTGGTGGAGTTCAGAATGCTTTTTGATTGCAGGTGAACTATAAATCCCAGCAACTACAACTCCCAAATGACAAAAGCATAATTTTTTGAGTGATGGTCACTCCTTGTGTAGTGAGACGTTTTGTTGCCAAATTTGGTGTGATTTCGTTCCTTGGTTCTTTCGTTTTTAAGGTACTCATTATGCACAGAGCATTTTATATATATATAGATTGTATATGTGCCTCTTATAACAACATGAGAATGCATTGTGTATACATATTTATATTATTTTGTATGATCAGCTTAATATAGTCAAATACAAATGCTGAGATTCTTATACTACAGATACATGTCTCTGTCAGGCTGAAATATTTCATATTATGTGTGTATTCCATACTATTTTTATTTATAGCAAGCTGATAATATTTATATGTGTATTGCATGCTGATATTTTTCTCTATCTATCTATCTATCTATCTATCTATCTATCTATCTATCTATCTATCTATCTATCTATCTATCTATCTATCTATCTATCTATCTATCTATCCTATCTATCTAGCTAGCTAGCTAGCTAGCTAGCTATCTAGCTATCTATCCTATCTATCTATCCTATCTATCTATCTATCTATCTATCTATCTATCTATCTATCTATCTATCTATCAGCATGAGGGGTATATATTATGAGTATGCAATATGTGCATATGTGTGTATATTATAATAATATCAGCATGCGAGATGTGTGTGTGTGTGTGTGTGTGTGTGTGTGTGTTGTGTGTGTGGGAGTTGTAGTTCTCCCTGATCCAGAGAGCACTCAATCCAGCCAACGAGGGATCTGGACCAAACTTAAATGATATTCCCCAGCATCCAAAAACAAACAATGCCTTCTTCTAACCACCCCAGCTAGTATAATATAAATATAATACAATACAATATCATATTTGTGTGTTGATATGTATTATAGTCGCTATAGAAATATCCAAACGAAGGACTTTCTTACCTGCAAGTAGTACCTTTCCTCCTTGATATTCCCGGTTTTCCAATGCATTTTCCCGACTGCCAGGCGGAGATTTGGATTTCTTAAAAAATACAAATAATCTTTCTCAATATTTCTAAACGAAATAGAATCGGGTTTCCCCTTTGTGTCTCCTTCTGCCGACGGATCCAACTAGTTGTTTTGGGGGAGGCTTAAAGTGAAGCTCCAAAGTTGCAACCCTCTTTGGGCATCTTTAAAAAAAGACCCACTTAAAAGGAAAGAGAGAGAGAGAGAAAGAAAGACTTGGGAGAGGGGTGTCGAGGGGGAACCGCAGCTGTCTTGGCATCTGGGAGGCATGCAAAACACCCTTTCCTCTTGAGCCTTCGGGGGAAATTGGGGGGTCCACTCCTCCCTTTTGCTGGCTATGATAGGTTTTTTTCTTTCTCTCTCTCTTCTTTTCGGGCGGGGGGGGGTATATTGCCTCCCCCCTACAAACACAACTCCGCCTCTTTGGGAGTTGCAGCCCAAACCAAGAAGGGAGCAGAGGCTTCTGCCAGGAAAAAAGGGATTGGAAGGAGGTAGTTTAGAAAGCCAACACTCTGGATATGCTCAGAGGCACAACTATGTCTTCCAGCCAGCAGCACTGTCAGTCTCTCTCTTTATCGACTTATATCTGTCTCTGCCTGTATCTGTCTATCATCTCTCTACTATCTCTGTTCTTCTGTCTCTATCTATCTATCTGTCTGTCTGTCTGTCTGTCTATCTATCTGTCTGTCTGTCTCCTATCTGTATCTTCATGTCTTCCTGTCTGCATCTGTTTATCAATCTATCATTATTCTATCCTCTGCCTATCTATCTATCTATCTATCTATCTATCTATCTATCTATCTATCTATCTATCTATCTAAACTCCATGTGTCTGTCTGTCTCTATGCCTCTGTCTGCTTGCCTGCCTGCCTATCTATCTATCTATCTATCTATCTATCTATCTATCTATCTATCTATCTATCTATTATCTGTATCTTCATGTCTTTCTGTCTGTCTCTATTTCTTTATCAATCTATCATTATTCTATCTATCTATCCTCTATGTATATGTCTGTCTCTATTCCTCTGGCTGTCTATCTGACTATCTATGTATCTATCTATTATCTGTATCTTCATGTCTTTCTGTCTGTCTCTGTTTATTAATCTATCATTATTCTATCTATCTATCTATCTATCTATCTATCTATCATTATTCTATCTATCTATCTATCTATCTATCTATCTATCTATCTATCTATCTATCTAAACTCCATGTGTCTGTGTGTCTCTATGCCTCTGTCTATCTAACTATCTATTATCTGTATCTTCATGTCTCTCTGTCTGTCTCTGTTTATCAATCTCTCTCTCTCTCTCTATTTTAACTCCATATGTCTGCCTGTATGCCTCTATCTATCTATCTATCTATCTATCTATCTATCTATCTATCTATCTATCTAAACTCCACGTGTCTGTCTGTTTCTATGCCTCTGTCTGTCTGTCTGTCTATCTATCTATTATCTGTATCTTCATGTCTTTCTGTCTGTCTCTCTTTATCAATCTCTCTCTATCTAAACTCCATGTGTCTGTCTGTATGCCTCTATCTATCTATCTATCTATCTGTCTGTCTGTCTGTCTGTCTGTCTGTCTGTCTATCTATCTTTCTATCTATCTATCCTCCATGTGTCTGTCTGTTTCTATGCCTCTGTCTGTCTGTCTGTCTGTCTGTCTGTCTATCTATCTATCTATCTATCTATCTATCTATCTATCTATCTATATCTTCATGTCTTTCTGTCTGTCTCTGTCTATCTATCTATCTATCTATCTATCTATCTATCTATCTATCTATCTAATCTCCATGACTGTCTCTCTCTATGCATCTGTCTATCTATCTACTGTCTATATTTCCATGTCTTTTTGTCTCTATAAGCCATCTATCTATCATCTGTATCTTCATGTCTGTCTATTTATCACCTATTATTATTATTATTATTATTATTATTATTATTATTATTTATATCTATCTATCTATCTATCTATCTATCTATCCATCTATCTATCTACCTATCTATCTGTCTGTCTATCTATATCTCCATGTTTGTCTGTCTATCGATCTACTACTATCATTATATTGAACTATCTCTATCTATCTATCTATCTATCTATCGATCTATCTATTTGTATCTCCATGTCTGTCTGTCTGTCTGTCTGTCTGTCTGTCTATCATCTATTCCTATTATTATTATTATTTAATAGTCCCTTTGGGGAGAGAGGGTGGGTAATAAATAAATAAATAAATAAATAAATAAATAAATAAATAATATATTTACATCTATCTATCCATCTAGCTATCTTTCAGTATTTCTCTGTGTCTGTCTCTTTGTCTATCAATCTGTCATCTATTATTATTATTATTATTATTATTATTACCTATCTATCTTTTTTGTATCTGTCTGTCTATCAATTTGTCTATCACACACACACACACACACACACACACACACCTGTTTGTCTCTCTGTATCTGTATTGTTCTGTCTCTCTATATCTATCTATCTATCTATCATCTATCTATCTATCTATCTATCTATCTATCTATCTATCTATCTATCAGGTAGCTAGAACAGAATAGATAGATGATAGATAGATAGATAGATAGATAGATAGATAGATAGATAGATAGATAGATAGATAGACAGACAGACTATTCTGTTCTATCTACCTGATTGCAAAGCGGTCTTGGAGATTAACTGGGAGAAAGAATATTGCAGCATATTGAGAATCATATGGAAGAAGATATAAAAGCCAAGACACTACACTCTTAGTATGTTAGATGGACTCTTGTGCCTCCCAAAGAACGGTTTTGTAATAGCAGTACCATCTATTATCTATCTCTATTTATCTTTCTACTCTCTTTCTGTAACATCAAGTTGGTTGGAGCAATAGGGAAATTATGTGGCTCATGTATCACATGTGGCCTAAATACAATGTTATGATCCGAGAAACATTTTCACTATGATTTTTAAAAAATGTGTTGCCCTTCCCTCAAAAATAATAAGGAACTACATCTCCAGAGGAAGGTGGGATTGAATTCCTTAATTTCATTGAAGGGAAAAGAAAAGAAAAACGGGTTTTCCAAACCAGAAGTAACTTGATGGGGCGCCTCTTTGCATCTTGGAGATGGAGAAATGGCTTTGAGACCCTTGGAGTTTTTAGGAGAAACACGAGGGGCAAGAAGGCATTAAATGCAACTCTTTGAACCCCAAAAACATTGTATTTGTGATGTCTACAAACAGTTGCAAAAGTGAAGAAAGCTAATATATAGAAATCCAACTCATTTGAGATGTCCTGCAGGAGAATGATGCTCATGGGACTCCCCAAAGGACAAAACCCTAAGTTTAGTCCAACAATAAATCTATTTATTTATTTGGAAGTTTTGTATACTGGTCTTCTCACCTCCAAGGAGGGACTCAGGCCGGTTCACAATATACAATATACAAAAACAACACAATGCATCATCATTACAGGTTAAAATAAGTACAATAAAAACATTATCATCACATTTTACAAGCCAAGTCGTCAATACAATCACAGTCACAGTTCATCATCTAGGCTAAACTTTCCCTAGAAGCCAAAAAGGACTCAGCTATTACACTCTGAATTCATTGGAAAATAATGCATATAAAGTATAATAGACAATGCATCAGTATAAAGCTGAAGGCAATAGGAAAAGAAGAAAAGTGGCAGTCGTAGGGCATGGGTGTCCTTTTGAGTCATTTTAGATGCATATACACTGCAGTGTTTAATGCAGTTTGATACCACTTTAACAGACCTGGTTCCATGCTGTGGGACACCGGGATTCCAGTCTGGGGAGACACCGGGACTCTTTCAGCAGACTTTGTGGAACTACAACTTCTATGATCTCATAGTCTTGACAGTTCAAGTGGTATCAAACTGCATTAAATCCATTGTGTAGTGTAGACACACTATTGGTGTTACTGATTTTACAGAAATCTCCCAATCTAATCAGAAAGAGGTGGGTAATAAAATTATTATTAAAATTATTATTTTAGTTATTATTATCAATAATAATCACCATTATTTACTGTTATAATTATATTATTTGCTATCATTAAGCATTATTATTTTCTATTTATTTTATTAATAACAATTAATAATAATAATTAATACCATGGAGACAAGGAAGGTCATTTGCATGTAAAGCAAAGGGGGGGGGGATAACCCACCGCCCTTTAGCCGAAGCAGTAATAAACCCTGATGTCTGAGCGACATTAACAAACAGAATCCCACATTAAATTTAATTTCATTTCACTCTTCCTGCCCCGAGCGATGGCTCCCTTCATTTTCATTTTTTCCTCTGAATTCCCACAACTCAGGCCTTCTTTGAATTCCAGGTTTAATTAACAATGCTCATTAAATGCATTTTTATTCCTTTCTTTTAATATTGCGCTGCCACCTGTCTTTAGAGCATCATTGAGGGCTGGCTGTTTATTCTAATTTATTTCCATTAAATATGGCATTAAAAGGGAGCCACAAAAGTGGGAGAAGGCGGGAGAGGCTCTTTCCTGCCACTGTTTATTATTGCTATTTTAAATTCTTTTTCTGGCAAAGATAACATGGCAAATGCATTTTGAAGATGTGGTTCCTGCCTGGTTTCTGCACTGATCTGTTCCATTTGCCCAAATTGGATCAGACTTGCTGTTTTGCAATGATTTCCCACCTTTTAATGCCCCATCTACCTCATATAAAGCCATTTCTGTCTTTGCTTACCAAAAGAAAAATAATCTATCCATCCATCCGGTCTTCTCTCTCTGTCACCTTTCATCCATCTTTCTATCTGTCTATCTGTCTATCTGTCTGTCTATCTATCTATCTATCTATCTATCTATCTATCTATCTATCCATCCATCCATCCATCCATCCATCCATCCATCCATCCATCCATCCATCTATGTCATCTCTCTCATATTTCTCTCTCTCTCATCTATCTATATATCTCATCTTTCTCTCGATCTCTATCCATCCATCCATCCATCCATCCATCCATCCATCCATCTATCTGTCATCTCTCGTATCTTTCTCTCTCCTATCTATCTATCACCTTTATATCTCATCCCTCAATCTATCTGTCATCTCTCTCTCCTATCTATCTATCTATCTATCTATCTATCTATCTATCTATCTATCTATCTATCTATCTATCTATCTATCTATCTAATCTATCTTGTCTGTCTGTCTGTCTATCTATCTATCTCTATCATTTCTCTCAACTTTCTCTCTATCTAATCGATCAATCATCTATATATCTCATCTCCCTCTCAATCTCTCTGTCATCTTTCTCTCTTATTTATCTATCTATATTATCAATCAATCAATCAATCAACCATCTCTCTT